GCATATCAAGAAACCGGAAAAAGTGGAGAGGTTTGCATGGACACTAGTCCTAGAGCCAAGAAGTACGAACTTTGAGGTGACATATTAGACAACAAAAGAAGCATGGGAGACGTAATAACGACGTACAACATACTAAGAGGAATAAATAGGGTGGACAGGGACAACCTATTAGAGTAAGAAAGAGAAATACGAGGACACATCTAGAATTTAATAAGACAGATGAATCACAGGGATCTTGGGTAATATTTGTTCAGCCTTTAATTGGTCAGGAAGCGGAACAACTTGGACAGAGAAGTGGTAGAGGGGAGAAAGATGCACCCTTTTGCGAAAGAGAGCCCGTAGCGACCAGCGAGCTGAGACTCGATCTCTGAAACAACACACAAACACAAACACACACAGACACACACACACACACACACACACACACACACACACACACACACACACACACACACACACACACACACACACTTGAACGCGTACTAATGGGCATGAGTGTAAAAAATAACAGAACCCAGGAAGAAAATCATTGAGAATTACATATATGTACTTTAAAGCAGCAGGCAGAAACAGAACTATGGTACCAACAGGATAGGTCCAGTTGTATGGATCAAGAACCCCTCACCATTATCAAGGCCCCTCCCTTGAGAGGTGGTGGGGAGACTTAACAGAAAGTATCCACATGATATCGAGCTCCCATGAGAAATCATGGACATTTAAAAAACACTACCACATATTGCCATAATTTCCTGACCCATCACACTGAATCTGCAAAAATGAAGAGTAGAAACGAGCCGGCAAGACCTGAACTTTTATTCACCCTAAATGAGTCGAACACAGGAGGAATGACTATTTATCAACACCAGCAACATGAACTAAAAAAAATGTTTTTTCTTTTCTTTCCGACACCTATCTTCTAATATTTTCGCTTTTTATTCTCACTTGTGACTCAGTAATAATCCAGGAGGGACAAATATCGTCCAAATCTTCCTTTCTGAGTTATTTGTGAATTATAATAATAATAATTATGAAAAGGAAGAACTATATTGTTCCTCGAGAGCGACACTAATACAATGAAACCTCACCAGCAGGTTAAAATACAAAAGTGGTGAGAAATTTCCTATCTGGGATTCGATAAACCAGCGTGTTTTATGGACGCCAGAATCCATTACGTACTTAACACGGAAGATGATTAAAGAAGACGCCTTCAGAGAAGGGAATCCATTACAGGGAGCTAGTATGGTTTTATGAATAGCAGATTGTGTCACGAACCTACTAGAAATCTATCAGAAAGCGAGGGAATCAGAGAGAGAGAGAGAGAGAGAGAGAGAGAGAGAGAGAGAGAGAGAGAGATAGAAGTGGACAAGCTGCATTTTCTTTGAATTAAGGCAGGCCATCCACAGTGTGCCCATGAAAAGAGACTTAACCAAAAAGTGAGAAACTAAAAGTAATCCAATACCTCGAGAAGCAAATAAAAAAAATAGATTGTAGTAATGAAAGAAGAATCAAACTGGACACAAGTAAATAATTCAGTCCCTATGATCCACACACTTCCTGAGAGAGAATAACAAAATCACAATACCGTGGCTGCAACAACATACAAATAAACCGTACTTAGAAGAGAGCAATAACGACGTTGTGCTCCGACTCGGCCTACAAGAGTTTACAGACTGATTCATGTTTGATGACAATGCAAAACAAAAGGAAATATGATTGGATGACGATGGCAAGAAACTACAAGACTTATACAAGGAGCAGAAATGGTCCAGCATATGCCTACTGGATTATAACTCAAAGAATTACGTAATATTGTGGGTTAGGGAGTATCAAAAGGGAAGGAAGAAATTTTAAACAGAGGAATAAAAAATAATCTTGCGATTGATTTCACACCCAAAACTTTCCTGACAAACGAAAAAGATACCATCATAGAATTTAAACATTCGTTTAGCGTGAAATACGTGAAGTATATTCAACAGTGAGGAACCTCGATGAATTAAAAAAAAATAAGATAATGTGAATCCAGAGATCTGAAACACAGTTTTTCTTGGAGCTGAGGAGAATGAGACGTGAGAAAAAAATAAGAGGAATAACATGATCTCACCTAATGGAAGAGCCGCAAAGTAGAGATATGATTACGACGTATAGGATGCTTAGGGACATCGACAGAGTAAAAAACAAATGACAGTGAGAGGTGAACACCTAGATGATCCACAGATATGTTAGGAAATATTTATTCAGTTTATGTGCAGTGAGATGAAATTAACTAGACGAAGAGGTAGTTGAGGCAATTAAGTGACTAGTAGCTTAAACTTGATCCACGAGGACACACACACACACACACACACACACACACACACACACACACACACACACACACACACACACACACACACAGACACACACACAGACACACACACACACACACGAGAGCTCGAAGGTGTGAGATATTGTAGTCTCTATACACGTTATGCACTCTGTCTCTTTAATTTATATACAGTTTTAAGGGAAAAAACCTATTAGAATTTTTTTAAATCTCTGCAGATATTACGAGTGGACAGTAATTGTAATATTATTTATTTTTGTCTCTGAATAATAACATTACAAGGGAGGAGGAAGTTGTTCAACCGAATCCAATTTTTTTGTGATTGCCAGACTGTACCGTCTTGACCTAACTCAACCCACATGACCCCAACATAGGTCATGTGTCATATACTCGGTTAAGTAGAGATGTAACATATTGAATAAAATACCGATGAGTTGATGAATACGACGTATTAACACTCAAGTGTCTTTATTGCTTAAACAAATCGCCTGACCAGCGGATTTCTTCAGTCGAATACAAAGGAGATTTTAATACTGGAGACAGTGGAGACTGTCTCTATTATTTAAATCACCTGCGTATTCGCCTGAAGAAGCCTGCTGTGCAGCCGAAATATATCGGCAATGAAGATAATTAAGTTCTGCATGTATTTTGACCGAGATGACTTTTAGTGTAGCGTGACCCGTCCCTCCCGATCAGATCTGGGTCTGACATCTTCACGCACTTTATGTAATATTCGCCCCACCGTAACCCGGGCGGTCGCTCATTCGGTCTTTTGCTCGTTCGTTCGTTCGGTCGGTCGGTCTGTCTGTTTGCTGTTTGCTCGGTAGGCGAGTGCTGATGCCTTTACAGCCGGTGATACACGTAGCAGCATAGCACTGAGAACACAGCGCAACCTGAAGGGACCAGGCAGACACAGCCAAACTGTCTGTGGAGATGCAGCAACCAGACAGCTCAACAACTCTGTAGGGATGCAACAACAGTGTAGTGAGAGGTGTGGTGTTGTCTCAGCCTCGAGTTGTGTGAAGCGTGCATCACAATATCATTTTCGAATCAGTCTCTCCACTGACATATCAACCATGACTGGAGGCAGCACGCCTCTCTGACTTCATTATCTCACACGTACAAGAAGACCTGGATTTGTCTCCATGTAGTGACTGGCAATAAACATCAGTTTTAAAATTACCGATATAACAGCGATTAAAATTATTTAAATATTGTCACACCCTTGCCATATACATCGAGGCTGGAGCAAGCAACCCTCTCGTAGGCATCAAGACTATTGCACGATTTCAACTTTGGCACAAGGAAACTAACATTTACAGTCATAATGATGTATGCTAGACATGCTTGTATGCCTTCCTACTGCCAGAACCTATGCTGCGGCCTCAGGTCACCTCTAATGCTATACATAATTTCATGGATCGAAGAAGGAAACAAATGCATATTTCAAAGACTTTGAGCATTGCGAATCACTTAGGAATTTTCATATGTTGACATGCTAAATAAAGTAAATCTTCCCAAAAATGTGTAAAAAAAAGAAACTCTCTTATTCATTTATTTCTCAAACAAAGAAATGCGTTAGTTTCCAGAGATCAAAAATATTTTCATTCTTATTAATTCTTCCCTGTTTATCCATACCCTGACTTATACTGAGGGTGAATTATATATATATTTATATATATATATATATATATATATATATATATATATATATATATATATATATATATATATATATATATATATAACTGAGACCTATTAACAAATTACTCACATGCTCTTTTCAGATTTATGTACACTTATGCAAAAAAAAAAAAAAAAAAAAAAAAAAAAATTCAAATTTATTTTTTTCTCTACTTCTATTAGATAGACTTGCCTCATGTCCTACATCCTATTATTTTCCTTTGGTGAATTTTGAGTTTTGGTTGTGTGTGCTAGTGATCGAGAAGTGGCCTCGACTGCCGTCGACTGCCCTGCAGTAACCTGTACGCATGCCAAGCGTAATTCGTGACCCTCTGACGGCCGTGTGAAAACGTATGCATCACAGACACGCTATACTACGCCATAGACGACAAGACGGTAACGCCAAACACACGATACCGACACGTTGTATATCACTAGAAGAAACTTACGCCATTTTGTATTCAACTTGTGACAACAAAGAAGGGTTATGACATAAATCATGACTTAAGACGACCATGGGGTAACGCTACGTATTACATCACCAAACATTCGACGCCACTGGCAAAGTTGTGTTTATATCACACACACTCAAAAGATTCGCAGTGTACAACGAGAGACCATTACCAACCATGGCACAGTGCCACTCATTCACACACACACACACACACACACACACACACACACACACACACACACAACAGCAATGCGAGATCAACGTGATACCATAAATATGAAAATACTCGAACCATCCTCGCCTGAGCCGCCGCGCCCCTTACACTCCATATTTTGAGTCACCTCTGTGTGACACACACACACACACACACACACACACACACACACACACACACACACACACACACACACACACACACACGCACACGCACACACAAAACATCCCTACCAGGCCAAATGTCTATCGACAAGTGCCTTTGACAACTAGTAACTAAACACACATACACAATCCTCTCTTGACGTCTCGATCTAAAACACGCAGGTCCTCACTCGTGATTCTGTAACCGTGGCTGTAGATGCCGTCGTCTACTACAAGATCTACCGTCCGATAGAGAGTGTGGCAACAGTGGCAGACTTTAGGTGAACCTGTCACTACACCTGTGTAAACTCTTACCCTATACACTCTTATTTCGTCAAGTACCCTTTTTTCCCCTCTCCCAACAGTGTCCATACACTGTGTATCTCACTCACTCACACACACACACACACACACACACACACAAATGGGGCCAGGAGCTGAGTCTCGACCCATGCAACTACAAATACGTGAGTACACACACACACGCACGCGAATACACACTACTTTCCACACAAAAACACGCACTTCTTGTCCACACACAAACTCACTATCCACACAAACATTTTTCTTAATGAAGTGATTCGTTGACGTCTCCACTGTTATTGTTACTGTAATGACTCACCCTTATCTCAGTGACACACGTCTGTTTATATACTCACTGAAGTGACTCACCTCATTTCAACATTGGTATGGCAGTGACTCACCTCAGTACACCCACCGTTAAGGCAATGACTCACTGAACTAGTGACTCACCTGTTCATGTCGTGACTCACCTGTTGCGGTCATTACTCACCTACTGCGGTCGTCACTCGCATAAGTTTACTGACTCACAGCACTAAATAATTCACTGTATTTGAGAATTAGCTTCGTTGATTTTCTGCAGCAAAAAACTATTGAAATTCAAGTAAAAAAATAGATATTAAATCAATTGCCCACATTATATATATATATATATATAAATATAAAATAAAAGATTATTCTCACTATTAACATCATATATATAGTTTATATTTAAATTCCTATTAATATCACAAAATTCTAATTTTCCTATCACATACTATTTGTGCTTGTGTGTTTTCTATGTATTTCGGCAATTTTAAGTCAATCCGATGATCAATCGTAATTGATGAAGCGGCTCTTCAAATGAGTGATTACGGACAATTTAAACTTATGACGTAAGAATAATTCGATAAAAATATAACAGCTTTCCCAAATAGAATTAAACGTGACAATTAAGACATGAGTAAGTAGAATAATGTTGAAAAACCCGATGTTTTCCCAAAATGTAGTTAGTGGATAGTAAATTCATGGTGATATATACAGATGAGTTACGTTGCTTCTTAGGGCTCCGACTACTTAAGAGGGCCACCAAACCACATACTATATGTTGGCACTTCGTGAGTCGCTTAAGGGGTGGGCAAACCAAATTATGCTATTTTTTTCTTTGGTCCAATTTCAGTGAAATTTTTTACAGTGATTTAAGCAGCATTTGAAACCTACAGTGTTTGTAGTGGCTTTTTGCCTTAAAAGTTAGATAGAAAAAAATAAATAGTGCAAAATTCAATAGCGCATAAAACTATCCCTTTTCTACAAAATCGGGAAGATGTACAATGCTCTAGTTAACATCAGATGAAAGATAAGGGACAGATAATCTTTAACCCAACGCCGTTTAGCGAAAATGTGAACAGACTGCATAAAAAAATGTTAAAGTCCATTATTTCTTTTTCTTTTTCTTTTTTTTCTGGGGGAGAGAAAAAATATCAGTAAGAAACAAAGCTGTAAAAAACATCGCAATTCAGCCCATTACTTAATAACCTGCGCAAAAATCATGACAATCCTATTAATACTTTTCGCACAAAAATGAAAAATAATGTCAATAACTTATTCCTGAGTTATTCATATGCATGTATTGCTTTCTGTAAAACTCTATGGACATGACACGCCAAATTTCAGTATGTTGCAAATGTTGACAGCCCATAATCGACTGAGCTGTTGTCACTCCATACATTTGGAGTCAGAGATATTGCAATGTATTTAGAGTGAAAAAAATCATAAAACTCGTAATTTTTGGAGAACACTAATTGGCATCATGTCTTTTTTATGAGAGCAAAAACAAAAAAGAATTACATTTTTGGAAAAAAAAAATACTTAGAAATATGAGAGAAACAAGCTGATTACATCAACATGTAACCAGTATTATGCACTATTTTTCGGTAAGAAAACATTTTTTCCATAATTTTTCAATTTTTCTTTTCTATCACTCCAAAAACGATCGCCTCCCCTTCACTTATCCATAATGTTCAACAGTTTTCAGTAGTCTGAGATCGGAAATATTTATTTGTATGTTAGACAAACTATTTGGACTCTGAAATCAAAAACCCATTTTTAAGTTTTAATATTTTGCTGAATATTTATTTTTGAAAAAAAAAAAATCAGTGTACATAACATGCTAGCAGCGGGCCAGCGGCGGTCATACAATCAATCGCACATTTGGCTGCAAAGCTAAAATCCAATTTCCACTGGTGTAGGAACCGACAGCAGCACGAGGCCATATGTGGTGTTCCGCTTAGGGCTCTTGGACCTTTCAATTTGCCACTGAACATTATGTGGTACCACTGGGCAGTGATGGTTAAAGCACACACACAACAACATTATTAGGGTATGTCAACATACACTGCTACGATGTCATATGTATGTTTTTTGTATACCTACCATTCTCAAACACCAACACTTGTGACTGATAGTTTTTATTTTTTCAATACTAGTAACAATGTACTAGTAAAAAATCGCAAAAAACGAATAAATTGAATAGGTAAAACTGGTCAATTAGCAAGAACTCTTTTAAAATTAAGTCCTTTCTAAAATTTTCTCCTATGCGTTTCAAAATATTTTTTTCATTTATGTTAATGTAAAAATTTTGTACCGAAATAACCTTAGAAATCTTACCTAACCTTATTATAACAAGCGTAATTTAACTTAACCTAATCCAAGTAAATATATTTTAGATAAGGCTGCAATATTTTAATAATAAACAATTAAATATATTTTTTTGGTTAGGTTCAGAATGATTTTTGCGAAATTATTTCATACACAAATTTTCGCTTGCCTTATTCGGAAAGAAGAGCGCTGCTATTTAAGCCAAAATTGCAAGTTTTACCTATTCGGCACGACACACACATACACACACACACACACATACACACATACACGAATGGGAATCGAACCCATGGCATCTTGCATGCGTGTCCAGTACTCTCCCCCGAGGCTCTGCCAGGTGTAATCTAAAAGTAACGACCTGTCTTATTCTTGTAAAGTTTGCAGACTTTACCTAAATAAGACGCTGGTTTTGAAGAGACAAGAACTAGCGCTCCACTTGTGTTACATAGTAAGGAAAGGTGGCTATATAAACCAGAGTGCGGCAGTCCTATTGTAACCATCACATTCAGCTACACAATAAACTTTTATTTAAAAATTACGCTCGGTTTAAGCATTTATTAGAAACCAATACTTCTGGTGATGAACAAAGACATTTTTATGAAAGCTTATTCTGCCCACGTTTCTTCAATTTACACCACTTCCTATTTTACATAAAGATTATTAAAAATCACCCTCCTCCGGTGAGACGGCCCACGCGTTGAAAAAAAATATTAAATTTAAGGGAGATATTTCCAATGCTTACAACTCAGACTTACACTCCGCAGCATCCAAGACTGTAAAATAACTCCATCAGTCAGGGCACTGACATATTTATATTTAGGTAGACCAGTAACGACTGGATGTAAGGTCTTGTAAAATGCAGCCGGATATTATTTTTGTCCTTTCGGCAGGTATTTTTAGAGTATCATTGTATGATGCGGGCGCTGCATGACCCGTAGCGGTCATACAGCTCTGGGATATGGGAGGCAGTCACATTCAATCTAAAGATTGAGAGGGCAAACCATACCACGGGCGGGGATAGAACCGGCGACGGTCTGGAGTTTTGAGACTCTCTGATCGCGGGTTCTATCCCCACCCGTGGTATGCTTTGTTTGCAATCGTGTTATTACGATTTCGTGAGGCATTGAGAGGGCAGTTCCCATTCTTTGGATCAAAAGCAATTCGCCGTTTTCTAAACACCTTCCTTGAAGGGTATACAAAAGCTCAGGATAATACTGTTGTCAGCGGTGGGATTACAAATTTTTTGGCCTTCAGGTAGCCAGGTATATTACATATGACAATGAATGGCCATTTTGTCTCAATTACTGTTGCAAAGACATACAATGATTTCAAAGCTCGTAGCATACGTACCATAACAAGAGAGACGAAGTAACTGCCGTCAAATGATAGTCCCAGTAACTTTGCCTTCTCTACTCTCAACCTAACAGCTAGGAACCTCTGAGAGCGTGCACTCTACCTAGCAGCTAGGAACCTCTGTCTCCAAATATTTACACCATTATCATCAATTTAAATTATTAGTGTCGTAATCTTAGAGAAAAATCATAACTGGTCTTCAAAACTTGCTAAAATAATTTATAATTTCGCTACAAAAACAAAAAATAAAATGTTGCAAAATGCATCTTAATAAGAGTGAAACTCGTCAGCCCAAAGCAGATGAATGAAATGTCAGCCCAGAGCAGCTGATACTAAACCATTGCATGGAGCGACACAATCTAATCTTCATACCACTGTGATCAAATAGAACTCTTTTGATTTATGCATTATGAGAAATCAAAGACTCTAGTCGCCCCGTAATGTTATTTTAAACCCAGCCTATTATCATAATGCAAGAAGAATACCGTGCATAAACGTAAAAAATAAACGATTGCTGTCTGTGGCGTGCGTTACCAAATTATATATACCTATATAAATATATACATATATGTAGCCGATACAAAAAGCAAGTATAAATGAGAGTACCAAACACTACGCCAGACTATGACGAGAGTGTCCAAGAACAGTATCGTCTGCAGGTGCTGACACATGACTCGGTCACCGTTGCTGTGGACGGGGTGATATACTTCTCTGTCAAGGATGCTCTCAGAACCGTTATCGCCGTCGCTGATTACAGGTAGTAAAGAGGGAGAGAGAGAAAGAGCGAGAGAGAGAGAGAGAAAGGGAAGTCAGATCAGTTTATATACCTTCCAACGTTTTTTCCCAAGCGAGCCTGCATATAATTTTATTTAAACGATAGCAAAAAAATGCACGGTATTTTTGTCTTTGTGAATGATAGAATATATATATATATATATATATATATATATATATATATATATATATATATATAATATATATATATATATAT